GCCAATGCGGATCGCATACAGAGCGTGCTGGCGATGGGCGGCAATCTGATTGACAAGAAGCAGTGCAGCGGGTCGGAGGATGCGGTGCAGAAGCGGCTGACACAGATCGCCGATCAGTGGGAGTACCTGACGCACAAGACGACTGAGAAGTCGCTGAAGCTGAAGGAGGCCAACAAGCAGCGCACTTATATCGCTGCTGTCAAGGATTTGGACTTCTGGTTGGGCGAAGTCGAGAGTCTTCTGACCACTGAGGATTCTGGTAAGGATTTGGCATCGGTCCAAAACCTCATGAAGAAACATCAGTTGGTCGAGGCGGATATCGTGGCGCACGAAGACCGCATCAAGGACATGAACAACCAGGCCGATTCCTTGGTCGAGAGCGGTCAGTTTGACACTGCTGGCATCCAGGAGAAGCGCCAGAGTATCAATGAGCGATACGAGCGCATCTGCAACCTGGCCGCCCACCGTCAGGCCCGCCTCAACGAGGCCCTCACCCTGCACCAATTCTTCCGCGACATTGCCGACGAGGAGAGCTGGATCAAGGAGAAGAAGCTGCTGGTCGGCTCCGATGACTACGGTCGCGATCTGACCGGCGTCCAGAACCTCAAGAAGAAGCACAAGCGTCTCGAGGCGGAGCTGGGCAGCCACGAGCCGGCCATTCAGGCCGTCCAAGAGGCTGGCGAGAAGCTGATGGATGTGTCCAATTTGGGCGTGCCAGAAATCGAGCAGCGTCTGAAGGCTCTCAATCAGGCCTGGGCTGAGCTGAAGAATTTGGCTGCCACGCGTGGCCAGAAGCTGGACGAGTCGCTGACCTATCAGCAGTTCTTGGCCCAGGTTGAGGAGGAGGAGGCGTGGATCACCGAGAAGCAGCAGCTGCTCTCTGTGGAGGATTACGGCGACTCGATGGCCGCTGTCCAGGGTCTGCTGAAGAAGCACGATGCCTTTGAGACGGATTTCACGGCCCACAAGGACCGCTGCTCGTTCATTTGCGACCAGGGCAGCGATCTGGTGGAGGCCAAGAACCATCACGGTGACTCGATTGCCCAGCGCTGCCAGCAGCTGCGCAACAAGCTGGAGAACCTCAATGCCCTGGCCGCCCGTCGCAAGGGAGCTTTGTTGGACAACTCGGCGTATCTGCAGTTCATGTGGAAGGCCGATGTGGTCGAGAGCTGGATCGATGACAAGGAGAACTATGTGCGCTCCGATGAGTTTGGACGTGATCTGTCCACGGTGCAAACGCTGTTGACCAAACAGGAGACATTCGATGCAGGTGAGTGAGCGATCTTTTAGCTCTACATATAGTGAGAATGTTTTGCATGTTAATTTATTCGCTTTTGTTTTGTTATTAGGTCTCAATGCCTTCGAACAGGAGGGCATTCACAACATAACGGCACTGAAGGACCAACTGATCAATGCCAGTCACGCCCAATCGCCGGCCATACTGAAGCGTCACGGGGATGTGATTGCCCGCTGGCAGAGTCTGCGCGATGCGTCGGATACGCGCAAGCAGCGACTGCTGGCCATGCAGGAGCAGTTCCGCCAAATCGAGGAACTCTACTTGACATTTGCCAAGAAAGCTTCGGCCTTCAATTCTTGGTTCGAAAATGCCGAAGAGGATCTCACAGATCCTGTTCGCTGCAATTCGATCGAAGAAATACGCGCGTTGCGCGACGCCCACGCACAATTCCAAGCGTCCCTGTCCTCGGCCGAAGCTGACTTTAAGGCATTGGCAGCACTCGACCAGAAGATCAAGAGCTTTAATGTTGGACCGAATCCATACACCTGGTTCACCATGGAAGCTCTTGAGGAGACCTGGCGTAACCTGCAAAAGATCATAGAGGAACGCGATGGGGAACTTGCCAAGGAGGCCAAGCGCCAGGAGGAGAACGACAAGCTGCGCAAGGAGTTTGCCAAGCATGCCAATCTCTTCCACCAATGGCTGACAGAAACAAGGTGAGTGAGTGACACCACCCACCACACACCACACCGCACATCTCCGTTGTGCGAGATTGTGTGTGTGTGTGTATGTTGATCAATGTTGACCCCCCAATCCACCATTTACCTACCCCCCCTCCACACACACTCCTCACATTGAATCCATTTCAATGAAAACACAACAAAAAACCTCTTGGTGGTCTCTGAATCCGTTCGAACCATGAAAAGCGTAACTGAAACGTTCAATTCTATTTTTCTAGATATTATATGCTGGGTTTTAACCGTGAAGGGTAATTAAGAAGGCGGTGGCGTGGCGTATCGTCTCTTGTGTCTTGTTTCTGCGTTTCAAACTATTTTCATTTGTGAATTTTAATTTAATTTATTGTACTCGTTCGTTCGTTTGTTTGAGAGGCCCAGAGGTGGTGCTGGTGCAAAGGCCTCGCCTCGAATCTCCTAACAGCTGCGGCTCCAACCTAACCTAACCAAGCGCGCCTCTGCCTCTCCTCTGTGGGAAATAACTTTTGCTTTTGTGCCTCGTGCCCGCTCTTTTGTAAATATTCTCTAACTAAGATCGAGCAGCGGTGGCAACAGCAACAACAACAACAACAGCAGCGACAATAATAGTTTTGAAAATTTAACAGTTTAGTTTTAGTGCCGACTACAGGCCGATGATCAGCTTTTTCTGCGATTCTGCATTTGTTTTGATGGTCACAAATTAAATTTTGATATTCCAAAATTCGATTCAAAATTATTTGAAAATTAATTCTTGAGCATGTGACAAAATATTAATAAATGCAATGCATAAATAATAAATAAATAATGTTTTAGCGGTACAGAATCTCATATGTAGAAATTTAAATAATTACGATATATTTTTTTTGTTTGTTCTTTTTAATACGAAGCGTTTAGTAGCTATTTTTTTAAATTCAAAATACAAACTTGGACATTTCGTTGGCGCTTTTCTTAATTTTAACTCGCTTTTTATTAGGCCATTAGACGACTATTTGTCCTTATTAGTTGCTGAATTCAATGAACCAAAAATCAAAAGAAAAGAAAACAATTTATATGATTCTAAAACTACACTTACCTCTGCTCCGATCGATATTCGTGAATTCCCATTAAAATGAACAAAATTCAGACACCTGTAAATATATACATGAAGGGACGACAAATTAGTTGTGAGAGCCCTCACCACAAAATAACAACAACAAGAACTTATTCGCTGGCCCCATAACACCCCTCTAACAAGATTTGCTTTTATTATGCATTATACTATACTATATCATTGTAACGTTCTGATTTCTTTTGGAGAACTAAACTCGATCTAATCGCCGCTGATCTTTTGTCGTGCTGTACTAACGAATGCTTGTTTTATTTTTGCCAACCTCTCAACCAACTCCACTCCGCTCCAATCCACATGCACACGCTCACGCACAGAACATCGATGATGGAAGGCTCCGGTTCCCTCGAACAGCAACTGGAGGCGCTTCGCGTCAAGGCCACAGAGGTGCGCGCACGTCGTGTCGATCTGAAGAAGATTGAGGAGCTGGGCGCCCTCCTGGAGGAGCATTTGATCTTGGACAATCGCTACACGGAACACTCGACAGTCGGTCTGGCCCAGCAATGGGATCAATTGGATCAGCTGTCGATGCGAATGCAGCATAACTTGGAGCAACAGATCCAGGCACGCAATCACTCGGGTGTCTCCGAGGACTCGCTCAAGGAGTTCTCGATGATGTTCAAGCACTTTGACAAGGACAAGAGCGGAAAGCTAAACCACCAGGAGTTCAAGTCATGCCTGCGCGCCCTCGGCTACGATCTGCCCATGGTTGAGGAGGGACAACCCGACCCGGAGTTTGAGGCCATTGTCGATGTGGTCGATCCCAATCGCGATGGCTACGTATCCCTGCAGGAGTACATTGCGTTCATGATTTCCAAGGAAACGGAGAATGTGCAATCCTACGAAGAAATCGAGAATGCCTTCCGCGCCATCACTGCCGCCGACCGCCCCTACGTCACCAAGGAGGAGCTCTACTGCGTAAGTTTTTCTTTCTGTCAGCACTCTCCCTAGTCCCTCGACTCATCTGTTCTTTTGCGGCCCTACAGAACCTCACCAAGGACATGGCGGACTATTGTGTGCAGCGGATGAAGCCTTTCTCGGAACCGCGCTCCGGCCAGCCCATCAAGGATGCTCTGGACTATATCGATTTCACGCGAACGCTTTTCCAGAACTAAGAGGGCTTTGCGGTCTTGTTCAGTGGCGCCTGAGAATATGTCTTACAATCTAAAAACAACAAAAACAAAACAAAAAACATAAATTATATATTTACACAATTATTTTCGATAATTTTAGTCTCTAAGTCGAAACCAATTTAAAAGCTTATTTAAGAAATTATGCCACAATGAACCTAAAATCAACAGTAATAGCACACCCCTGCCTGCAATACATACATACAATACATATTTATCAATTTACAATGACTATAAACCCGTTTGAAGTTTTTTGCATTTAGTATCTTTTACCACCAAGCCCAGCCAGACCCCCCCCTCCACCCGTAAAGTATCTTAAATTTGAAGATTTCAGTTTGAGGATTGCACCAGACCGCCGGAAATAATAATTACTCTGTATTGAAACTAATCTGATCTACGATATGCATATGAAGCGCTATAAAACGCTTTTGCTTCCAGTTAACGAGCATTATACACTTTCTATAGTCGTGTCGTCAAATGTCTGTAATCGAAATATCAAAACGTTTAAGATCAACTCTCTTGCTATCCAAATCAAAATACACATTACATAAATAATCCAGCCTTTTACCGTTTTTCTTTGTCCAGTTTCTACGTGTATTCGAAACGAAAGTAGAAGAAAATATCTCTTGAGCAAATGCAATTTTATAAAAAATAAACAACAAAAAGAAATGCTTAACAAACAATAAATATTGCCTCTGTATTGAACACATATATATTTACAATTGGTGAATTGCAAATAAATATATTGCTGCATGTCTATAAATGTTAAACATAACGAAGTTTCCTTCTCCAGCTCAGAACGTAAACACACACAATTACCTTCGGGGGTTCCCATTTATTCTTTACAAAACAGATTAACATTTACAATTATAACAAAAACTTCTTTATGCTATCCGCGTAGGCGGCATTCGTTAGCTTCCCGTCGAGGGCACCCTTGGGCAGCCACTCGTATTTGGTGCTCGGCGTCTTGTTGTCACCCACTTGGCCGGTGCGGAGGGAGGCGCGATAGAAGAATACCTTGGCCCCGACGCTCTCGGCACGCTGATTGCTGGGGTACTTGTACTTGTGAAAGCCCACGGGTGCGTTGCCGTAGAAGAGCACCTGCAGCTCGCTGCCACACTGTTCGCGTAGCACACGCTCCGCCGTCTGGCGCAAGGACTCACCGTCTTGGCGCTTGCCCTGCGGCAGAATCATGTGCTGCTGCGGGCCCAGCTTCTGTTGCACCAGCAAATAGAGCGTGTCCTCCAGACAGCGGTCTGTGGAGCTGGTCTTGTTGGCCGCATCGTCGGGCGTCGAGCGGGAGCCAAATTGGAATTTCTTCAGCTCCTCGACGTACGCATCTTTCAGATCTTGGGCCGTCTGCTTGGTCATGCTTTCGTCCAGATCCACCTGCACTTTTCCCTGCTTGATGAGCTCAGCCTGGACCAATTCCCGTTCGTTCTTGAGCTCATGGTCGGATTTTAGGCTGTTCTCGTACTCGACACGCCACAGCAAGTCCTGAAACTGCCGCTCCACGGGGCTGAGTGACTTGGAGACGACGGGCAGTCGTTCCACGAGAACGCCGGCGTAAAGATCCCACTTCTCCTGGGCGGCTGCTGTGGACTGGGCGCGCGTCACTTGCCTGGCTCCCACCTGCACAAAGCGTCGCAGCATAGTTAAGTTTTTAATTAAAAAAAAGTTTATGGAAAAAATATCCAAAACGAGCCCCGATTACATGAGCAGCAGCAGGCGAACAGATGTTCGCGAGTTGCATTGGCCACCAATCGTTATCGGTATCGGAGAGCGCGTCGCCAGTGTTTGCCGAATCTTGATTTGTGTTTGTTCTTTTTTCACACAAATAAATCAAAAGATGTCCGGCTTGGAGTCCTATATCAACCACAGCGTGTCCATAATCACTGCGGATGGACGGAACTTCATCGGGACACTGAAGGGATTCGACCAGACCATCAACATCATCATCGACGAGTGCCATGAGAGGGTTTTCTCAACGTCGTCCGGCATAGAGCAGATTGTGCTGGGGCTGCACATCATCCGGGGCGACAACATTGCTGTAATTGGACTGATTGACGAAAGCATCGACTCCCGCCTGGACCTCGCCAACATTCGAGGAGAGCCCCTGGGGCCCGTTGTGCACTAATGAATAGCGAATAAAACAAGACTCTTTATCTTTACAAAACTTAATTTACTTCCACATGACTTTAAATTTCATTCAGATTCTACGCTAAAGTTAATCTGGCGACAGGAGAGCGAGTCCAAGTCCACCACGGCGACGCTCTTCGTCTTGCTAAAGCTGGGCACGCACACCAGACAGGTGCGTTTCCCTTCGGCGGTAACATGAAGTGCCGTCTCGAAGGACTCGCAGTTGCCTGCAAAGTACACGTGGGGACACTCGCGCATGATGAATGGATCGCTCTCGATGTACGGATAGCAGGCCAGAGTGTCTGGAGCTGTGGGCGCCACATGGCCCCATGTTAGAGTGCAGCGCAGGGCCTCCAGCGAAGATTCAATCGACGTGCTGCGTAGGAGATCTGCCACATTCTGACCTGCAGTGCCCACAATGAGAGCATCATCCAGGCGACAGTTGTAGGGATTTGTGACGGCCTGGAACGACGAGAGCTGTGCCGCTTGGGGGAACATGCACTTGTGGAACGGCTGTTGGGGCAGCATAAAGTTGGCCGGATCGTAGGCGCCCGGCATCACATCGATGGGCAGGCACTGCGCCCACGAGGCGAACCAACTGTCCAGCTGGGTGACCGCCTGGACAGTGTCGTTGTCGTTGGCTTGTGTGCGTGCCACCTGCAGGGTCGGAACATGCGCCATCGCACTGCCGCGCACCGAGTTTCCGGCTATGATCAATCGGACCAACGATTTTGCATCTTTCCCGTTGCCCAGGCTGCCGCTGAGCCAGTACTGAAATAGGTTTAGGGCCTCCACATAGGTGTGGGCCTGCAGCTGATCCAAGCCAGATACGAGCACCAGCAGACGGTTGCGTTTGTTAGGCAGTGGCTTCTGTGGCCCACTCTCATAGTACATTACATCCTCGACGTTGAAGAAGCCTTCGCTATCGGTGCCGCCCAGTACGGCGCAAACAATGCCGGTGGCCATGAGCTGGGTCTTCAGCGTCTCACCCTGTAAACGCACCCGCTGCAGTTCATCTTCCAGTATCACCTTGTCTTCGGGCTCCGAGTAATTCTGTCGCGGCGGCTGGGGTGCCAACTGATTCTCCTCGGATATGTCCCTCAGGATGCTGGGCCTGTGCGCCTGGTGCTTGTAGATGGTGCCAATCAAGATGCAGTGGACATCCTGTTCGCCACGCAGCTCGCATAGCTTCATAATGGTCTCTGTTTTTCCCCACTTCTTCTGGACAAGCGGCGTCAGCAGGCGCGTCATCTCGGCCAGCCGGTGGGCGTACAGGTGACAGAACTGCTTCTGGTAATCGTGTTCCTTCAGCCGATATTGGCTGCTTAAGTTCTCGTAGGAGCTCTCCAACCGTAGAGTCATTGTTTACGCTTTTATGGATATATTCTTGTGGGGATAAACAACGAAACGAGTGTGGTTGGCGAATTTGGCGCAAAATTTTTGTTTGTTGTTTTTAGCTGCTTTTCGATAATTATCGGCGCTCAGCTGTTATCCGTTATACACACACAGTTGCTTATTTTGCATTTATCGAAAGAAGAAGAAGAGCACAACCGAAATTTAGCGAAAAAGTGTATTGTGATTTGGAAAAAAAGAGTTTTGGACGTGTTAATGCAATGCATTTAGTAAATCTCTGCACAAAAGAGATGTGGAACAATGTGATAGCGTGAATGGAGTGCCTCATGCCTCCTGTTCAGTGTCCTGTGCTGATTTGGGCGAATGTTTAACAGAGCGTATTGATTTTTACGACTTGGGGTGGGGGGCACTGGACTGCTACGCATATTGTTGTTTATTGTTCTCCACAGCAGGCAGGCCACAACAAGAACTGCGTCGCAGGACGGTGAAACATGAAAGTGTGGTTTCAGCAGGGTTAAAGAGCGAGACGCCAGCCAGCGAGGCGACATGGGTGGCTCCGTGAGCCAAGTGTTCCGTTCTGGGTCGGCACTGCTGTCACATCGAGATGGCCACAAAGTGTCGAAGGCAACAGAGGAGAAGATCCAGACGCTGTTCGAAATACTGCGGGCCAATCCGAAAATCTCGCTGCAAACACTCGAAAGCCTCCTCATCCAGATACCGAAGAACGAGAATATCCTGGTCATACACGACGATTGCGGATACAACATCCTGCAGCGAAGTGTCGGCCTCAATCACATTGATCTCACCAAGTGGCTGCTGCACCGCCATCGGCCCGATGTGAACCGTTCACCCTGCTCCCTGCCGCTGCACATTGCTACGCTCCGTGGGTACGAGGAGTGTGTGGAACTTCTCCTGCGGCACGGTGGCCGTATTGACGTGGATTCCCGGATGTGCTTCCCCGGCGCCCACACGCACAACTGCGAGGAGAGCGGCAAGTGGCACAACAATGTGGACGACGTCAGCGAGCGATTGAACAACAAGCTGCAAAATGCTCTATGCTATGCGATCGACGGTGACCAGTACAATGTCCTAAGCCTACTCACACAGAAGATGGAGGAGCCTTGGATACCGTTTCGCGTTAAAAAGCCCCTCTTGCATTTGGCCTGCGAACGCGGTGCATGGAATTGTGTCCAGCAGCTGGTGCTGACGCGATCCGAAGAGATAAATCTCATCATGGATGAGTACTATCCGATACACCATGCTGTGCTGCACGATGGCCGCTTTCTCGAGCTGCTCATACAGCAGGGGGCCGTGACCACAGTTCGTACCTGTACCCAGCAGATGACCTTGCTGCATGTCGGTGAGTTCTAGAATTAAACCCCTGAACGTGATGACAGAATGTAATTAAAGCGAAACGAAATTCCCCATGCTATAGTTATATTTGCTGCTCGTAAGCCCGCCGAGGATACGCTGGCTACTCTACGCATCCTATTGGAACGCGGCTGCAAGGAGCTGATCAATGCCCCCGACTCGCTGGGGAATACGCCGCTGCATGCACTCATCGTGCGCTATGCTTTGGAGGAGGCTCGTTACGGCTACGACAAATGGAGCAAGTGGGATGTTTTGTATTTGGTGCGGTTCCTGCTGCAGAACGGAGCCAAACAGTCCATCAATCAGGCGGGCAACAGTGCCATGGCCTGTGTGTTTCGCCACCTGCGCGACTGGGAGGTCTGCTACGAGCTGCTCAACATGCTCATCAAGGAGGATGGTAAGGGCACCATGCATTGAATCGTTTCTGGGACATTGTGGGTATACTGGACATACTCTTGCAGGTGATCCAAACATTGTGGGCCGGGATGGGTCCGTGCCCATAATGGTACTGTTGGTGCCGCTGATCAACAAGGACCATCTGCACCATTTTACGCATTCAATGAAGGTGAGTCCTAGCAAAGGTTCGAGAGATTGCCAGAGAGGTATAATCAGTCATGTCGTTTTAGGTCTGCTATCTGAACTGCATCCGCATTTTGCTGCAGCATGGGGCGAATCCAAACTGTTCGTATCGCGCCAATCTGAAGCCGCTGCACGTGCTCGTGTTCACGGTTAGCGAGAACTTTACCCTCAATTGTGATGCACAGAAGCGCACAAACTTTGACTTTATCAAGAACATTCTGCTGCTGCTGCTGCAGCATGGCCTGGACTGCAACAAGACATATCAGCACATTCTGCAGGCTGTCATGGATATGGTGCAGAATGTGCGCACTTGCCACGACATGGAGTGCATACACGAACTGACGCTGACGCTCATTCAGTACGGGGCCGATCCCAATATTGTGCTGAGCAGCAAGACCACGCCGGGTATAGCGATCTTCTCGAGCGAAATAGCCAGCTATGGCGAGGCCCTGGGCGGCGGTGGGGCCGCCGCTGCCTTGGGGGGCGATAACACGTTCCGCAACTCCTTCCGCACAAACTCTCGATATCTGCTTTTCTACTATATTATACTGATAACGAAGAAGGAATTTATACTCAACGATCCGCATTTGAATTTTACGCGCATCATCCACCTCTTTTACCTGACCATGGAGCACGAGCCGCTCTACAATTGCCTCAAGTCGCTGCACAACTTCTACGTTGCCCAAGTTCCCAGCAAGAAGACCGAGCAACTTATTGCCCTGATATCCTCGCTCTACCGCAAGCCGCGCAGCCTCAAGCAACTGGCACGCTGGGCCATCTACGAGGCACTGAACCGCAAACTGGCACCAAATGTCAATCGCTTGAACCTGCCCGGCCCCCTGAAGGACTATGTGCTGCAGTTTGAGAGATAACAAGTGGGCCGTCGTCGATGTTAACCCCTAACGACCAATGAAACCCAACCACAAAGAACTAAAATCAATCATTACTGCAATTGTTATGTTGCCCCTAAGCTATATACGAGTACTGTTTAATATAAATATTTACCGCATACTAATACACCTACGACGAGGTATCGTATGTGGCTAAACAATAATTATATACATATATATATATATATATATTATATATGGAAACGCTAAAACGCATGTACCAAGAGAACTACAACAACAACAACAACAACACAACTAAAATATTGGCGAAATCAAATGTGTGCAATTTCTTTGATACGAATTCTATTATTGGAAAGGAAGAGAACGCTCATCTACTCGTATGTTTTGTATTTATGTATATTGTATACGTATTCAGATTGTATAGCTATTGTATAATGCGCTTTATGGTAAACTGTATGCAGTGCCCAGCTGCCGGCCGACAGGGGACGTCTATTCCTATCTGCACCGATACTATCCTATCCCCCTGCTGATACTATCTCATGCCGTAACCGTATTTCGGAGTCGGAGATCTGCATTAACTTGAGGCTTTTGAACTGATGAAGAATATTGGGTGTTTTAGAATATTGTATTGTATTTGCAATTGACGAGATGTTATGTAATAAATATTGTCATTCTTGTTGCTAAAAAGTTGTTAATCTCTGTATCTGTAATGTATTTTCAATCGAATTGATAACGATCAATCATCAATAAATAAAGAACATTTTCGCAATCTTAACTTGGATACAAATCGAACAAAAGATTTATGCCAAATAAAGCTTTAATAAGTGGAAAACACAGAATATGTACCTGGAACCTGCAACCGTTTTAAATTGAACTGCAGATTGTATTGGGTAACGGGACCGACCAAAGCAAACGCAAAGCACCCATCCGTTCCCATCCCCTCTCCTGACGAAGTTGTCGGCTCACGTACACACATACAACTATAACAAAAAACAACATGCGAACAGGTGCACAGAAAGAACAGAAAGATGTCGCGCAGCTAAAAGAGAGAAAATACGATACGAAATAACGGTAAACAAACAAAACGGCCCGTTGCTTGTTGTTGTTGGGGAGTGTCTGCTTGTGCGTAGGATATAATATACATACATACATGCATACATGCGTACATATTTCTATATGAATTGGGGGTGTGTGTGTGTGTGTGTGTGCTTGCAAAGGCTTTTTCGCCGTTAGCGGCGGAGCTTACAGCATCCATCCCTTGCTTTCGGTGGGGCAGCCACCAACAACATACCATACCACCATATGTATACGTATGTGTGTATGTATGTGTTTGTGTGCGTGCTTCTCCTCTCTCTCGCTCCTGTGCATCACCCACCCCAATAACAATGAAAATGCGATTGCCTGCCATAAAAATGTCTATTAAGCTGTCAAGTTTTGACACTCGTAAAACCATCAAACAAGTCAAACGAACAGGTTTGCAGGAAAATGTGCACGTTGAACGGCTGTCAACGTTTTTCGGTTTATCCTGGCGGCTTTCTACACGCACACACACATACACACAGATAGGCACACCCACCACACACACTCGCTAGGAGGTTGTGTGTTGTGGGCCTTTTCATATTTTTGTCCCGTCCCCAAATGCCGGGGGCCTTATTTATGGGAAATAGCAGGCTGGGACGAACTGTGGCAGGACAGGCAGATTGCTGAAGGGAGGAATGAACTCAATTTACGATTTGAAGTCCAAACTTTTGATGGCAGCAAGGATGCAAGTTTGGGATCTACATATGTACATTTCTGCCCATCTAGGCCCAGATCGGTGGAGTCCATCTGGATCGAGGAGATCCAGAATATATATGAACATACATACATACATATGTAATTTAAACAATTAATTTTAAATTGCCATATGAAGAAAGGTTTTTGGAAGCGACGAAAGCCAAAAAATTAAAATCTTTTTGCGATTGACTGATTGGAAAATAACAAAAATTTTATTTCCTGTAGTCATATTTAATTTCTGAATAATATGTATTTATTGAATGATTAGTTAATGGAGCTAATACTATAAAACCACTAAATTAGTGAACCCATAAATATCGATTTTTAAAGGGATTTTTTTCTGATATTTTGCAGATTTTTTTTATCTTTTGTTCAATGGCTTCTTTCCTGATGAAAAGTTGGCTGCCCTGGGTACGGTGCTGGAGGAAACATGCAATTACGTATGTACATACATATGTATGTGTACAAAACTTCAAGAGAGCCTGGAGCCCAGCTCAAAAGTCTGGCAGAAAAAAAAGGGAACTCCAAAACAAACAAACAAACAAATACAACATGTTGCCTGGGCAACAACTATAAAAACGGAATACGAAAAGTTGTCAGGCACTGAGAGTGGAAAACACCGCATTAAATTTTGGATACGATTGTAAGAAAGATCTGGCAAAATGTTCAGCCGCAAGCTGAGCCGGATGCACCGGCCGCCGGTTGACACCAGCAAATACGACAATGAGCCGTACATGAAGAATCCGCTGCTCAAGTTCCACATCTCGGACGTGCACGAGCGTCGACACTATCAGTTCCTCAAGCAGAAGGCGGCTGACGTCAAGGTGAGAATTGCCCGCCAGCACTGGCCACCCGAGCCGGACATCCGGCCGCTGCCGCAGTCCCATTACGTGGACAATCTGCGGCGCGAGGTGCGCAAGATAATCGTGCCGCCAATGCTGCGCAAGACGGAGGCCAAGATATTGAGTTTCGCCTCGGAACGATTGCGCAACAGATACCCGGAGCTGGTGGACACGTACATGAAGGATGTGCACGAGGAGTACAATCGGCTGATGAAGATCTACAGCATGAAGAACATACTGCGCCATCCCGAGTTCTCCGACGAGGATCCATCCAGCTTTGATCTGCCCCACGCGGACTTTCATTTCAAGCTGCCCGGTCGCACGCCCAACTACAGCGTTTACCTGGAGAACCGCCGCAAGATCGGCCTGAAGCTGCTCATCCTGCAGCTGCCCATGCGCGCCGTGCTGAGCATATCGGTGTCGGATCTGCCAAACGTGGTCTGCATCTTCAAGTACGTAAGCGCCACGGGCGCCCAGCAGCAGCAGATGGGCCTGGGCGGACGCGAAGCGCTCTCGTACAAGTTCTACCGCAAGTACATCCAGAACCAGCTGGACAAGGTGAACACGTTCCTGCGGTGGACCTGGTATCCCAAGCTGGTGATTGTGCTGCGCAAGATGCTGCGCAAGCGGGTGATGTCGCCGGCCCTGTGGAAGCGCGCCTGGAGCGGCCTGGAGGGACTGATGAATCGGGAGCTCAACAACATGAAGATGCGAACGTTCATCGAAATGTTTCGCATCTGCAGAAATCCGCGCACGATGCCCATGTTTCGCCTGTCATTGGAGTGGACAGAGCTCTCGGGCGAACTGGACACGCGGCCCAGCCTGTGGAGCATACTGCGCACCTTTGCTGAGATCGCCACCGAAATCTCGATGGTCGGCTATCGGATGGAGTCGCTGCAGCCGCAGGTGGAGACCCTCACCTCAATGGCGGCGTACGCCAAGGTCAGTGACTACCTCAAGATCGAGATGAACGACAACTCGCTGAAGGATGTCATTGACAAGGTCCAGAAGATTATAATTGCCACATTTGGCGACGTCACCGACTACATTGAGAGCTTTCGAAGCAAATACGATGCCCTGTTCTCGTGGGAGGAGCGCGAAGCGCTCAATCTCTTTCTGGCCGAGCCGCACGCGTTCGAGGAGTACTTTGCCCGCATCGACGTCTACTACGAGTTCATCAATATGCTGCGCAGCGAGCCAGCGACCGAGTTCTTTGTGATGGCCGTCATCCACAATGAGCCGGCCATCCAGGGACTGCGCAACCTGGCCGAGAATCTGATAGCCGAGATCACCGTCATCATTATACGGGAGCACATCAAGGCTGAGGAGGAGATTTGCGAGGAGTTTGAGAAGATTAAATTCCGCGCCCTGGAGATACCCAAGTCCACGGAGGAGCTGCTTGAGAGCGCCGACTACATGATCTATGTGAAGACGGTGAAGCTGGCCGAGCTGACGGATCGCATCCAGTACTGCCTCCAGGTGGGCACCAACATTGTCGAGCTGACTGAAATGTCCAAGTACCACTTCGATTTGACCATCAAGACGATCAACTGGATCAAGGACATCAACGAGATATGCGAGTACAATGCCTCGCAGCAGGAGCAGTTCAAGTTCCTCTTTGAGGAGCATCTGCAGGAGGTGGTGAAGAAGCTGAACGCCGACATTGAGGAAATGCTGCCCAAGCTGGCCATTATCGATGACATGAGCCGGCCGGAGAAGTTCCGTGACAGCTACATCATCCTGCAGAACTTTATCGATCAGCTGAAAACCTTCGATGACTATGTGGCGTGGATCAACAAGGAGGAGAAGCTCTTCAAAGTGGCCCAAACCGAATATCCCACGCTGGAGGTGATCAAGTCCTTTGTCTATCCATTTGCAGAGATAATGAAGTGAGTAATGAACCCATCCGCCCAATGACATGATAATGTTCCACTTTGATATCCACCCACAGATGTTGCATTGACTGGCAGCGCTATTTGAATGTGTGGCAGGATGGACCCTTTGAGTATTTGGAGCCCAAGTTTGTGGAATCGACAACGGACAATTATCTGAAGGAGTTCCAGAAGAACCAGAAATATTATCGCGTCAAGATCAAACAGGATCTCATCGACAATCCCGTGTGCAAATTCAAGGTGGGTGGCAACAAAATTCTTCGCTGTGCACAGGCATCGCTAATTCCTGTCATTCCAGGGTCAAACGGAGGATCCCGATCCAGCGAAGCATCCGGTGCCACTGCGGCTGTGCACTTCGATGATCCAGTCGATCAAGGACTTCACCACCGGCGTCTTTGTGGTGAACATCATGTGCAATCCGGCACTGAGGAAGCGCCACTGGAAGGAAATGTCGGAAATTGCCGGCTTTGATGTCACACCGGATGCGGGCACTACACTGCGGAAGATCCTCAACTCTGGACTGGACAGCATTCTGGATCAGTTCGAGATCATCAGCATCAGTGCCAACAAGGAGCTGCAGCTGTGGAACGCCCTGCAGGCCATGATCAAGGAGTGGGAGAACAAAGTCTTTCCCACGGGCCCGTACAAGGAGACGGGCGTGA